CCGGCTGGGCCCCCGGCAGCAGCATCTCTGTGGCCCAATTCGAGGGCTCCGGGCTGTGCTCTGGGAAGGCGCGGCTGGGCGACAACGGGGGCGTGGGCAGCAGCTCAAACTTCTTCCAGATGTCCTCCCCCGGAGGCGTCGAGTCGGGACCGCCGAAGTAGAAGTCATCTTCGTCTGGATAGAAGCAGGGCTGCAGCGAGTCAAACTCGAGGTCTGGGTTCTTGCAGATCATCCCCGGCATGGTGGACGCGGTGCAGCTGGGCATCTGTTCTCCTCCCCGGCTACCGACTGACCACTTTTCTCTCTTCTCTTTTTACTGTGGGGGAGTGCTTCCTTCCCGTGGGGTGCACAGAGTCGCGCCAACCTCCAACACTACAACCAACAGACAGACCAAGAGAGAATGAGACACAGAGTGGATAGGTGGGGACAGGCAATGGGCGCCCCCAATCTTGCCTACAAGCTCCCCAGTCTTTCCCACCGCTTAGGAAGGTGGAGGAAGTTGAGCCTCTCCTCCACTCCCTCCTTTTGTGTACAAGCTGTCTAAGACTGTGGGTGGGAGGGGGCTTGCAGATGCAGGGGGTGGTGTGGCTCTGCAACTTTGGAAACTGCCGTTTCATTCACACAAGGCACTGCCTGGGGGAGGGGGCTGTTCCAACTGCAGATCCTAGCTCTTACTAGCACGACAGCCCCTCTTGCACCAGTGCAGGACCAACCGCTCACAGCAAGTCCTTGCTCTGCCGGGCATGAGGTTGTAGTACCTTCCATTTTGCAGAAATGAGATGTCGGGAGCGCAAACGCTAACGGGGTTCGGGAAACTTTATTAATTATTAAGGTCCTCCTTTCTCCAAACAGACCAACAACAGGCACTTACATACAAGCCCCTTCCACCCAACGCCTCAATTTTGGCAGATACCCTTGGTGCTCGTCGTCTGCCATTAGGTTATTTTGACCCTTTGCAATTCCCTCCCTTCGGAACCCCAACCTCTTCCACCGAAAAGCTGAAGCTCATTCCTAGGAATGGTGCAGGGGCGCCGGCGCGATGAGGGGCGCCGGAGAGAATCGCGTCCCCTAAGCTGGAGCAGCCCTGACCTACATTATCACTTAGGCACCCTAGCTTCGCCTAGCCCCTTTTCCTTCCTTTCCGCGGCACCTTTTGCAGAACCCTAGCTAGGGGTGGGGACGCACCGGCTCCTGGTCAGCTCACACTTAAACAAATCTTGTAAGAGCCTGGAGAATTTCTTTTCGCTAAAGCAATTTCTCTGCCTGGGCCGGGGCTGTAAAAAGGATTAGGGCGGGTCTCTTCCAGCCAAGGTGCCTTCGGGTGCTGAATTG